ACAAACAATTACAACAAAAATATTGCATTTACCTTAATCCTATTGTTATCTTGGCACACTGAAGTCTGCATTTTGGTGGTGGATGACAATGGGCTTAATTTGTAGATGAGGAAAGAGAGGAGGAGACAGGCATTACATCATCAGGGTCGTCAGAGGGGGCTTTGGAGGTGGAAGGCTGTGGAGATGTGGACGTTGCAGGGTCTTTCAACCTTCCTTACAAACTTACCAAGAGATGACTGGATAGTGTGGCCTTTTTCCTCTCTTCATATATCTGTCTATAGTAGGCCAGCGTTTCGTCAATGCCTCTGTTCACTTTCAAGAATCATGAGGAAATGGGGTCCATCTTCTCAAACCTTGCCATTGCAGAGTCAATCTCACGAAATGCAAGTGCCATCTCCTTGGTGTTGAAGTATCGTGGCTCTTCTACTTCTTCAACTTCATTCTCTGCTTCAGTCTGCTGTTTTACTGCTTCTGATTCCATGAGATCCTCATTTGATGATTCAGCTCCATGGGATTCGATAAGCTCATCCACATCACCAACATCAACCTCCAGCTCAAGCTTCTCGGCAAGCTTCTCAATTTCATCTGTCACCTCCTCACATGTTTTGTCTCTTTTGAAACCTTTAAAGCTGTGTACGAACTGTGGGCACGCTTTCTTCCATACGACATTCAAACAAACTTGGGTAACCTCTGCCCAGGCCTTAGCAATGTTTATGATGGCTTGGTAAATGTTATATGATTTCCAAAAATCGTGTAAAGTCTTGCCAGTCTCTCTGTCAGTTGGTTCTACTGCTCGTGCAAATGTTCTTTGTAGATAATAGGCTTTAAAATTAACAATGACCCCCTGATCCATGGGCTGTAGGATCGAAGTCATGTTAGGAGGCAGAAACATGACTTTTACATTAGGGTGAAAGTCGTCTAAATGTGCGGGATGTCCAGGAGTATTATCAACGATAAGCATAGTCTTGTATGGGATGTCGTTTTCTCTGCAGAATTTCTCCACTTCAGGGATAAATAAATTTATAAACCAGACTTTGAAAAGTGCCATTGTGATCCTAGCCTTTCGATTTGAACGGAAATGAACTGGAAGGGTAGCCTTGCTAATGCCTTTAAACACCCGGGGATTTTCTGAATGATAAACAAGCAACAATTTCAATTTGCAATCTCTAGCTGCATTACCCCCAAGCAAAAGTGTTAGCCTGTCTTTCGCAGCCTTAAACCCTGGCATCATCTTTTCCTCGTTTGAAATGTATGTTCTGTCTGGCATTTTTTTCCAAAACAATCCAGTTTTGTCGACGTTAAAGATTTGCTGTGCTGTATAACCACCTTCTTCTGTAAGTTTTCATAACACTTTAGGATACTTTTCAGCTGCTTTTGTATCAGCAATAGCAGCCTCACCACTCACTTTTACATTGTGAAAATTTGCACATTGTTTAAATCTGTTAAACCACCCATGACTAGCCACAAACTTTGCGTTAGGATCACTGTATTTTCCCTTTACGTCTTCAAAAATACTTTTAGCCTTCGCTTGAATAATCATTAGTTTTTGAATCTGATCTTCCATCCACAGTAATAGCTTTTCCATTTCCTTCACAGCACCAGAACGCTGCTTCATTACGACTATTGATTTTAAAGGAGCAGAGCCTTTCACATACTCTTTTATACGTGCACTATCATTCAAAATACTTTTCACTGTTGAGGTAGCCAAATGGAGTTCACAAGCAATTGATGACAGGCTTTGTCTGCCATCATACTTTTTCACTATTTTCATTTTCTGCTCTAAATCAATCTTCTTTCGCTGACCAACTGCTCCTGCACTCTTGCTATCACTTGGTCACTTTCCAGGCATGATTTGAATGAAATAATAGGGTGAAATAACAGAAATACAGTATCACTGAAATAACACGAGACTGAGAAGATGTGAGAGTGCAAAGCCTTCCCTTTGTAGGAGATGCTACTGCTGTATTCCTCCGCACGCCGCACTACAGTACTTTGCGTTTCTGTATGCTACGCAATATTTTCTGCAACTCAAACATTTTATTTATGCCTCATGGAACTTTTTGCGTAAGGTCGAATTTGCGTAAGTCGGGTCTTGCGTACCCAGGGAGCGTCTGTATAAAAAATAAATACCTTAGGCCCTGACACTTCTAGTATATGCTTTTCTTTTCTATATTGGCTATAATATCCTGGAAAAGGCTTGATAATCTATGATATAAATCTGTTTAAAATTATAAATCTTTATTTTTTTCATTTGTCTTGCAACGCTCTCTTCATTTTACATTTAATATTCAATTTCTGCTTATGAAGGCCAGCATGGAAACTGTTACATTCGGAACAACCAGGGTACCCTAGTTAGAAAAGGAAGACACTGCTCAGCCGTGTAGCACTGTTATGTAACATTTTAGTTATAGTTTATAATATATTTTTAATCTAAACAAGGTTTCCCTGCAACTGTTTAATCAGCAGTTTATAATTCAGAAGACCCAGTAGCTGAGGAATGACTTATCTAACTTTACTCTGGCATTTCTAACAAGTTGGGTTGGTGGCCTGACGCTCACTGAGATCCTGACATTCCTTTTATTGCAGTACCATAAAGATTGAAAAGAGCAGCTGCTGTTGATTTCAGCATATCAGATGATCACAGCAATACATAGCAGAGAGCATGTGAAACTTCAGTACCACTACACTCTGCAGTGGTTAGAGTCTATTTAATGTTCCTGAATCTAACATGCTCAAAAAAGAAAATTGCTTTGTGTTTAATTGCTTGGGGCGGGTTGCTTGTTTTTCCTGCTTCCTTCTCCCATTGCTAAAGTGCTTATTCTTTTCTTTGAAGTAGCATTTTTTAAATTCCTGGTTTACAGAAAACTAATGCTTCTGTACATTTGAGCGTTTTGATTTATTTTCTTTACCTATGTTCCAAGTCGCAAGTGAGTCAGAGGAGCATAAAACATGAAGGAAGAGAAATGTTGTATTGGCTATTTGACTGTGATTTTTATCCACCCTGCATTTTCACTCCACTCTGGCAGCCAAAATTTTCAGAGGGGTCCATATACATCTTACTGACTGTTTTGTTTCAGTACTCAGAGCTTTCCTATGACTGATCCTAGAGTGGAGGCTGAAGGGATGTATATAGTAGCAAGAATGCACATGGATAAAGCTTTCTGCAGAAGCAGGTGAATCTTGGGTGGGAAGGAAGAAATTATAGATTACAAATAAAGGGCAAGAGTCCGAAAGGTTGTGTTGTGCTTTGTTGTGCCATGAGAGTGGCTCTGGAAGTTGGATATGAAAAATGTAGAGATAAATATTATTGGGTTGTAAGCAAGGGAGGGTGAGGTTGTTTGTGTAGGTCTTTGTAAAGTGCCTAGCACACATTTTAAACTTAATAATAATAATAAAATTTCCATTATAATTTACTATTCTTGAATTCAGAGTTCTGCAGGTGGAAACTTGTGTTGTGTTCTCATACCGTCTGCTGTCTCTGGGCTTCTCAAGGATACTTGGAAATCTACTGTTTAGGGGTTGGTAGGGTTATAAAATTATTTAAGGCTAGTGGGTTTTTCTCCCCCGTATTGTTTCATTTTCACTTAAACCATCTCTGTACTTGTCCTGTGTGTTTGGGAGTCTTGGTAGAGACCAACAAAAATGACATGAGGACTTAACTATTAATCCTCTTATCCCATGAGGTTGTAAGTGAAGGTACAGTGAGATGCTTGCATTACCAGTTGGTGTGCTTGTTTTGCGCCATGAGTAAATAATACTAATAACTGAGGTCTTGTCAAACCCGCACCTATGAACACTAACTCTTTTAAATATAATATACACACACATGTATGTGTCTGCATGTGTTCACACAGGCTTTTTTAGGTTTCTTGTTTAGATGGGGGTAGCTACCAACCCCTAATTGGCTTTAACTGCTCCTTCTGCTTGGATTGGGAGCGATCAGCTGTGGTTGGGATTACAAAAACATTTAGCAAAGCTGAGGAATGAACTGTTGGGATAGGGAGTGGTTGTGCCAGACTTGGAGGAAGTAATTTTTTGTGTGGAGGGATCAGCGGTTGCTGAGGCACAGTTGATGATCTGAGGGTGCAAATACCCTTGTTCCTCAGTGTAATTTACTTATGTGCTCAGGGCTCAAATGGTTAAAGTGATTTATAACTTCAGTACCTTAAACTTCACAAGTTTCAGAGTAGCAGCCGTGTTAGTCTGTATTCGCAAAAAGAAAAGGAGTACTAGTGGCACCTTAGAGACTAACCAATTTATTTGAGCATAAGCTTTTTTGAGCTACATCTCACTTCATCGGATGCATTCAGTGGAAAATACAGTGGGGAGATTTATATACATAGAGAACATGGAACAATGGGTGTTACCATACACACTGTAAAGAGAGTGATCGCTTATGGTGAGCTATTACCAGCGGGGGGGGGGGGGGAACCTTTTTGTAGTGATAATCAAGGTGGGCCATTTCCAGCAGTTGACAAGAACGTCTGAGGGACAGTGGGCGGTGGAGGGGGGGAATAAACAGGGGGAAATAGTTTTACTTTGTGTAATGACCCATCCACTCCCAGTCTCTATTCAAGCCTAAGTTACTATTTCCCCGTGTTTATTCCCCCCCTCCACCGCCCACTGTTCCTCAGACGTTCTTGTCAACTGCTGGAAATGGCCCACCTTGATTATCACTACAAAAGGTCGCCCCCCCCCCCCCCCCCCCCCGCTCTCCTGCTGGTAATAGCTCACCTTATCTGATCACTCTGGTTACAGTGTGTATGTTAACACCCATTGTTTCATGTTCTCTGTGTATATAAATCTCCCCACTGTATTTTCCACTGAATGCATCCGATGAAGTGAGCTGTAGCTCACGAAAGCTTATGCTCAAATAAATTTGTTAGTCTCTAAGGTGCCACAAGTACTCCTTTTCTTTAAACTTTACAATAAATTCTCAAATTAATGTTATGGAGTTTTCACGCTGGTTACTGACAAATTTTTGTTTTCTTCCTCTAAAGATTATTATAGCCCAGAAATGATGGGGTTGAAGACCGATCAGGAAGTCCTTGGAGAACTTGTGAGAAAGAAAGTTCCAGCAGTGGCAGAGTTAATAGATCGACATGGTGTCATGTGGACTCTGATAGTGTCACGCTGGTTTATATGCTTGTTTATTGACATTCTTCCAGTAGAGGTAAGTATAACTTGAAGATGTTTTAATATACATGAGTGGAGAACAGGGGAGTTTTGTGCAGTATTTTTTAAAAATGTCATATGCCCCTCAGGTTACCTGTGTAGTGGTCTCCTGTCTGAATGCATAGAGCTCTGAGAGAGAAACCAACAGGAAATGAAATAATGGCAAAGATAGCGGGTTATGATAAGGTATACCAAGAGTCCCCAGAAAACAATAGGGATACCATTAATTAGGGAAAAAGAAAAGGAGTACTTGTAGCACCTTAGAGACTAACCAATTTATTTGAGCATGAGCTTTCGTGAGCTACAGCTCACTTCATCAGATGATACATCTGATGAAGTGAGCTGTAGCTCACGAAAGCTCATGCTCAAATAAATTGGTTAGTCTCTAAGGTGCCACAAGTACTCCTTTTCTTTTTGCGAATACAGACTAACACGGCTGTTACTCTGAAACCTGTCATTAATTAGGGGAATACCCCTAGCGTGGCTCCACTACTCTGACAAGGTTTATTCTTCCCGGACCAAAAACCCAGGGAGCATCAGGGAGACGCAGACAGACAGAGCATGCTGCGAACAGGACAGTCTGCTTCCCCCAGCTGAGGGGAGCTTACTAAAGCTGGCAAGGAAAGATTTAGGATTAGTTAAGAGGATATATGCATATAGACCCTTTGCTCTGTGAACTATGTACTTTTGGATGAATAAATAAATAATGCTTTGTTTTGAAGAAGCTGGTTTTGTGTCACTAATCAATCCCTATTGCAGGTTACTGGAGGAATCACAGGTGCCAAACCCAGTTGGGCCTGTTGGGTTAATAAGGTGGGGAAATGGGCTACAGCTCAGAGATCCAGTCTAGAAGTGATTAGACTGGGTTTCCACCCAGAGTGAGATACAGCAAGCCAGTCCTCTGACCTGAGGGGTGTACTGGAGGAGGGACAAAAAGGGGTTTAAGGTGTGATTTGCCTGATAACTGATTTGTTAGATCATTGTTCCACTGATAATGCCTTAATAATCATTACTGACTACAAAGCAGCAAGAGAACCTTTCTAACAGCTTTCTTCTTCTACAGACTGTTCTCCGAATTTGGGACTGTTTGTTCTATGAGGGATCAAAAATCATCTTTCGTGTGGCCTTAGCATTAATTAAGCAACACCAAGCTTTTATTTTGGAAGCCACAAATCTCCCTGACGTTTGTGATAAGTTTAAGCAGATCACCAGAGGGACGTTTGTAACAGAGTGCCACAGCTTTATGCAGGTAAGTGTTTCCAGGTTACAGTGCAGAAGAGGTAAAAGCTATGAAACCAAATAGACTTTGAAGGGCCCGGAAGGTGTCTAGGTCGAACGGCAGTTCCATCTCCTCAATCACCTGGTTTGGGGAGTCCAACGGTACCGGGCTTGACTGTCTCCCTTGCAGGGCTGAAGTCGATGGTGCTGGCACCAACGTTCTCGTCACTGGGTGCTCCTCCCTGGGACGAACTCCATTGGCTGGCTCCGAAGGGGTGGGTCTTGGAGTCGGAGATCCGCTCCTTCCCTGCTTGTGGTGCCACTTCTGCACCAGGGAATGGGACCGGTGCTGGGCTGTTCCCACGGGTCTCTCCCACAGTCCTTCCGTGATGCTGTTTCTACCTCTGCTGCCGGGGCACTGCGCACTGATGAGCTTGGTGCCGGGTCTTGCTGCACTGGTGTGGGTTGCAGTCTAAGTGCCGCCTCCATAAGTAGCTGCTTGAGGTGAAAGTCTCACTCCTTTTTTGTTCTGGGGGGAACCCTTTACAAATCCTGCACTTGTCCGCTTGGTGTGCTTCTCCCAGGCACTTTACATAAGCGTCGTGGTGGTCCCCGTTGGCATGGGCTTGTTCCAGGACTTGCAGGGTTTGAACCCCTGGGACTTAGGCATACCCCAAGTCCCCAAGGAGAGACCGTGGGTTGGGGTGGAGGGGAAAACCCCACTCCAACAGCTACCTGTTGTAACAACAGAAAACTACTTAAACTTAACTCGACTGGGGATAACTCTAAACTGAAAGGCTAGAGAAACAAGGAGAGCTTGCTATGCAAGTCACTGCAGTTCCAACGATCGTCACTGGCAGTAAGAAAGAACTGAAAAGGCGCCGGGTCAGCAGGGTCATATATTGAGCACCATGGAGGCGCCATTCCAGGGGGCTCCACAGCTGACCCGATGCGTGCTGCTAGGCGGAAAATTTTCCAACGACTGTGAATGTGGCACGTGCGCTCCTAATTGGAATTGATATGAGCAATCTTCGAAGAATAATAATGGCTTATTCTACCAGAGCTCAGTTTGCTTCTTCAGCCTTCCTGAGTACACTTCACATAGTAATTACAGGCATCTGCATATCAGCAACATGGTTGTCTTTGGACTCTTTTTCAAGACGTTATCCCATCATTTGAGCCTCCTGAGACAGTGCCAGCTTTGGCAAGTTAGTGCCGCAGTCTCTCTTCCAATGATCTGAAATCCCACCAGCTGTTTAGGTGACTTCGTAACTTCCCAAAGTGAATGTCTATGTGCACAATACACCAAAAATGGTTACTTACCTGTATAGTAACTGTTGTTCTTTGAGATGTGTTGTGCACATACACCTTCCACAACCCTCCCTCCTTTCCCACTATTTCAGACAGCATTTCACAGGTGGTGGGAAGAAACAAAGAGGGAGGTGGCAAACTCACCCCTTTATGCTCTTGGCTGGGTGCATGAGGAGAACAGGGGCGCATGTGCCACCTAGTGGTACTGCTGGCAAAAGTCTCTGACTTGTGTGCATTGGGCTCACAACTAAAGTGGAACGTATACACGCAGAACACATCTCAAAGAACAACAGTTACTGCAGAAGAGTAACTGTTTTTTTATTTTGAGGTATAATGCCATACAAACTTCCTCACCATGGCGCTGAACAAAACTTGCAGCATGGTTTTTAAAGTTTACTTAGAGTTCATAGCTCAGTTCTGTGGGCATCTCATTTTTCCTTCTCCCTATTCAAAACAGATAACTGTTCCTAAAGGAATACAGTGTCTCATCTGTGGCATGCTTATAAATGACCTGTTTGAACAATTAGAAGGCTGATGTGGGCTATGAGACAAAATTTTTGATATTTATGTTTAAGCCATCTCATGTTTGACTACTATGTCTTCAGAGGTCACGATGCAGTTGAAGCAACAACTATTGTGTATGTTTGCTAGCATCTGAAATATTTCTGTCTAGAATCATGTTATGTCCCTTCTGTAACACTGTCTTTGCATAACACTTCCCTAAAAGTATAGTTTAGGGGAGGAGTAAATGTACAGGTGTTTTATAGTAAAAATGGGGTAGAAACGACATAGTGAAAAGATCTAAATGGAACCATGGAGCCCAGATTACTATTTATTTTTCACATAAAATGGATTGGTTTTATTTACAGTTTGGCTTTGGTGAATTTAGATACGTGTTCAAAAATCAAATGCACAGCTACCAATTGGGGAATAATTGCTTAGGCAGTAATACTGCTGAAAAGGACCTGGGCATTATCATCACAAACTGATATGAGGCAACAATGTGCTACAGTTGTGAAAAAGGCTAATATCATTCATGAGTGTTGTATGTAAAACATGGGAAGTAATTGTCCCACTCTACTTGGCCCTGATGAGGCCTCAGCTGGAGTACTGTGTCCCGTTCTGGGTGCCACACTTTAGGAAAGATGAGGAGTACTTGTGGCACCTTAGAGACTAACCAATTTATTTGAGCTTAAGCTTTCATGAGCTACAGCTCACTTCATCGGATGCATACTGTGGAAAGTATAGAAGATCTTTTTATACATACAAAGCATGAAATGAACAAATTGGAGATAGTCCAGAGGAGAGCAACAAAAACAATAAAAGATTTAGAAAATCTGAGCATGTTTAATCTTGAGAAAAGACTGCAGGGGATCCTGATAAGTCTTCAAATATGTTAAGAGCTATTATAAAGAGGACATTGATCAATTGCTCTCCATGTCCACTGAAGTTAGGACAAGAAGTAATGGGCTTAATTTGCAGCAAGAGAGATCTAGGTTAGATATTGGAAAGTTTTTCCTAATTGTAAGGTAGTTAAACTCTGGATTAATCTTTCAAGAAATTTGTCATCACTGGAGGTTTTTTAAAATAGGTTGGACACACACCTGTCCTGGGTGGTCTAGGTTTATTTGGTTCAGCCTCAGTGCAGGAGGTGGACTTGTGGACCTCTTGAGGTCCCTTCCAGCCAGACATGTCTATGTTCAGTACTGAGCTGCTACTCATAGAACCATTGAGAAATTTTATAGCGTATGGCAGAATTACAGTGTGTAAAATTAAGGACAACATAATATGGTTTCAGTTGGCTTATTGGCTTACTACGGAACATATCTCAGAATTCACTACATTGTTTGGAACTTTATTTTCACACTTACCTTGAATATTGCCACTAATTAAGATCCTCTGGATAACTGCGTGGTTTGGAGTCAGGAGACTTAAGTTCTGTTCCCAACACTGCAGCTGATAATACTTACCCACCTTATGAAAGCACTCTGATCTGTGGCTGAAGAGTCTTAAACAGTGCCATGTGCTGAAATTTACAGTAGGGACTTAAGTATTTCATTAGTGCTCCTTTCATCTGTAGGTGAAATCTAGGAAGACTTTCATACATTTTTGTCTGGGATCATGTTTTTAACTAACAATTCTTTGTTTTAGAAAATATTTACAGAACCTGGAAGCTTGTCCATGGCAACAGTTAACAAACTTCGAGAGACTTGTAGAGCAAAGCTGGTTGCTCAGGGATCAACCAACAATATTTAAACAGATGGTCAGTTACCACAGAAATTGACACATTCCTCTACTTTAACTGCACTGACGGAAGCACAATTTCTAAACTTTCCATGAGTGTCAATTGACACTTGACCAATTTTTCCTGCCTTTCAAGTAAGTGTTGTAAACGTTTTGTACGCTGTCAGTAATCTGGTAACTTGAACCTTTTACAAATGGTTGAGAATATTATCTGAGTAAAATGTGACCAATGTGGGCGATGTATTTAAAAAGTCACTACTCTTGTTTCTCTTCAGGGCATTTTGTAATGTCTGAGTAAATAGCTGGATAGACTGTATGTACAATTCTGTATATTATTCATGAAACCACAGCCATTTCTACAAAATAAATTATATTTATTTGTCGAAATCTGTTTTACAGAGTTCAGTGTTGCTATATGTACCTTGGTATCTGACTCCCAGGGTCTGGCAGTGACAGACCTTCTCAGAAAATGAACAGCCCCACTATCTCAATCTTCCCTAACTATGAACTGCTCTTAGCTGCTTCTCTTCCCTATACTTGCCATTACAGATCTCCTCTCTGCTTCCCTCTCGACTACCTTCCTTTCTCTTTTCTCACTCTTCCCTGGTGCTGGCCTGCAATGTGGTGGCTGCTTCCTAGAAGCATTTAAAAAACTGAAATAGTCTAGCACCAATACATACCAATGGAGTGGTGGCCTGATATTTTCACCAGACGTTACCATTATTTATATAGCTCTCAGCAATTTCGTAGGTACTTTAGACAAATAGGCATGCCCTCTACTCCGAAGAGTGGAAGGAAAGGGAGGGAGGAGAAATGGGGGTTGCAGTTATAAACAGTGGAGTTACTAGTGGTTTGCAGCATGTTCTTTTGTTACAAGATGTTTCTATATGGTTGAGACAAAGTGGGAGGGGAGTGAAGGGTGGAAGAGTGGGTAAGGGGGCTGAACAAATAAGAGAGGAAAGTGTGGGAGTGAAGGACAGGAGCACACAGGCAGGCATAGAGATTGAACGTCTGAACTCAAGAATAAGACACAGGGAAGGAATAGCAGCCTGCACTCAATCCTGGTGCTGTCCTTCCTCTAGGTCTTTGTAGGGGTAGGTTATATCACCTTTCTGGAGCTAGAGAGGGATAAGGTAGGGGGATGAATCACAGTAAAATCAGGAATTGTCATGCGTGTGCTACTGTAACTGAGCTGTTACAGTGGTCACCCCCTCAGTGTGTGGTATGGTGCTGTCTGCCACAAGCTTGAAGACAAATGCTGCAGCTGTTTTAAGCAATCAACTTTAGGCCTGGGTGCATCTCTGTCAATGCTCTGAGGAAGCAACAGGAGTGTTTTAGCAGGGCTGCCATTAAGCTACATGCACCTTTCTTTAAACATTATTATAAAAGATGAGCCTGACTGTTCCTAAGCCACCCCCTGGGGCCAGTCCAGGAGAGGGGCAGAAAAATAACCATAGCACATGGGGTTTCTCAGACTTAGTGCCTGCCAGTCATCAGTCCTCTAGCCTGCCAGTCCATCTGCAGTCTCATCCTGCCCTCCACATGTGCAGTTAGCCCACACTTCCTGATGTGGTAACTGCTGATTCCTTGTCAGTGACTGGTCAGTCCTATATGCCTGGCTCTCCGCTTTCCTGCTGCAGCCTCTGCTCAGCCTACTCTCCTCTGCCCTCAGGATAGAAGAGGAGGTTACTTACCTGTAACTGGAGGTTCTTCGAGATGTGTGGTCCCTGTCTGTATTCCAGTCCTAGGTGTCCTTTCCTAGCAGTGCCTGAACATGCATCGTGCATAGCCTTGTGCTCCTAGACGAGATTATAATAGGCCGTGCAGGCCGATGCCTCTCCAGTGACCCTCTTACCACTGAGTAGTGCTGTCCGCAGCAGAGGGGATGGAGGGTGGGTGGGTATTGGCATACAAATAGGGACCACACCTCTTCAAGAACTTTCAGTTAAAGGTAAGTAATTTCCTCCTCTTTGAGTGATGGTCCCTATATGTATTCCAATCATGGGTGAGTAGTGAGCAGTAATCAGCATGGAGGTGGATGTGAGGATGCAAGAGGAGATGCAGTACGGCATGGCCCACTGTAGGGTACTCAGCCGCCCTTTGGGTGATGGTGTAGTGGGATGTGAGGGTGTGAACTGAGCTCCATGTTGCTGCATGACAGATCTTTTGCCATGAGATGTCTGCTAGGCTTGCAGATGGGGCTGCTTGCCATCGCGTAGTGTGTGTTATAACTCAGGCGGTGACATGTTGGATAGCGTGTAGCATTCCTGGATGCACCTGGAGACCCATTTGGAGATTCATTGGGAAGAGAGGGCTTGGCCCTTGGACCAGTTGGCAATGGCTACAAGGAGTTTCATGGATGCTCGAAAGGCACGCGTCCTGTGGAGGTAGAATGCTAGTGCATGATGGACAGTGAGGGAGTGAAGGCTCCTGTGCACATGGGAGGTGTGCGGTTTGGGATAGAACACAGGGAGGTGAACAGACTGACTGAGGTGGAACTCTGACACCGACTTAGGGAGGAACTTAGAGTGAAGCCATAAAGAAACTTTATCCTTGTGGAATATGGTGTGTGTGGGGGGGCAACCATCATGGCTGCTAGTTGGCTGGCCTGTCCAGCTGAGGTATGGCTACTAAGAACTTTACCTTTAGATGGGAGAGGGAGCATGTTGCCAGTGTCTCAAAGGATGGCTTCGTGTTGACGATCGCTGCGATAGTGTCTGAGAGTAGCTGACAGTGCTGAGATTGGATCAGAGGAAGAAAAGCCTGGCATGCTAAATGAACTGCCCACACTTCTAGGACATTTATGTGGATTTCAGCCTCTCGCAGTGTACAGATGCCCTGTGCTGTGTGATGGTCTGGGTAGCTCCCTCATCCTGCAGGCCATCACAACAGACGCTTCCCTTGCAGGATGGGGGAGGTGAATGGGGTGCTGACTATAACTTTGGAGGGGTCAGTTCACCATGTGAGGGAAGCCAGAATTGTTTGGGTGATGACTTGCTTCCAGATGGTCCATGTGGTGTCTGTAAAGGGAGAGGAACCACGGTTGGAGGCAGTGCAGTGTCATGTAGGTGCAGGCCACCATACATCCGAGGAGGGAGAGAACAGCAGATCGCACTGCAAGGGTTGTGGCGTAGGTCCGTCACTGTGGCTCAGTGTTGCAAAGCAGGCTTGTCTGGGGGTGCCAGTGGGGCCAAATCCAGGGTGTGGGAGGAACCTTACCGGCAGTGACAGATGCTGCAGTGGTGATTCTCACGGTCCCAGGTCAGTGTGTGCATGTGATCCTGTGGCTTCCTCTAGGAGATACCCTGAGATGACGTTCCTGTGCCTCCCACATCTGGGGCAGGAAAGATGTACATATTGCACAGTGACTGGTGATATGAGCTTCCCTGAGGCAATAGTGGCAGCTCTGGGGCGCATTGCTCATGGAGAATGAGCACAGGCACAAAACACAGGTTTTAAACCCTGGAATGTGGGGCATAGTCCCAATTGGGACAAACTATCTCTGATTAGCAACTAACTCCATGTACTATATACACTAACTATGCTGAAAAAATCCCAAACAAGAAACTAGACACAAGGGAATAGATTACTCTCTTAGGCCTGGTCTACGCTATTGAGTCAAGTCCACCTAAGGCAGCTTATCTCAAGCCTTGCTCCTGTGGATGTAAGTTCCCTATTACAGTGCCATAATAACTCCACGTCCAGGAGAGGCATAGGGCTTATGGCGGTGTAGTTAGGGTGATGCAGTGTCCGTGTAGACGCTCAAGGTGGCTTCCATCAATTGTCATTCTTGTCAATTTCACAGGCTGAGCTGTCACCCTGGGGAAGGTGGGAGGTTCCAGCCAGAGCTCAACTGCCCCCAGGTGCTCTGCTCGGAGCCAGGCTGCTGCCCAGGCTCTGGTTCCTACTGGGACCCTGGCTGCGCTGACTCCTAAGCTTGGAGCCCGTGGGATAGCGAGCTCAGGTCCTCAGTCCCCTCTGACACGCTGCCCTTCTTAAGTCAGTGGAAGTGCTACTGGTGAGGATGCACAGCACTGACAGGAGCTTAGTGTGGACATGCCACCCCAGTAATTACTGCAGTGGCTGTAAATTGACCTAACATAATTGACTTGAGCTTGTAGCATAGACATGCCCTTAGTGAAAAGGCTAAGAGCATGAAGGCACAGGGGTTCTGACTCAGGCCTTGCAGTGGTAAGAGGGAACAGAAGAGGCATGGCTGGGTCAATGGACACTGCTAGGAAAGCCTTCCACCTCTGGTCCAGGGTGCACTGGTGATTGGATTACATAGAGGGACCATCACTTGAAGAACTTCCTTTTACTGTATTTGACAGATTATGGATCAGCTCATTAAGTGTGAAGCAGCAGCGTCATTACCATATATAAGGTGTAAGTACTTCAAAGTTGCATGTGGTTAGTGTGAGCTCAAACATCTCAGGTTTTGGATGGACTGATGCTAGGGAGCAAAGTAGGAGAGGTTGTTATTGTGGGCTGTTTGTAAGGCTTGGCATCAGAGCACTGTGGGCTATCACCAGCAGGAGAGAGAATTTGTGTGGGGGGGTGGAGGGTGAGAAAACCTGGATTTGTGCTGGAAATGGCCCACCTGATGATCACTTTAGATAAGCTATTACCAGCAGGACAGTGGGGTGGGAGGAGGTATTATTTCATATTCTCTGTGTATATATAAAGTCTGCTGCAGTTTCCACGGTATGCATCCGATGAAGTGAGCTGTAGCTCACGAAAGCTCATGCTCAAATAAATTGGTTAGTCTCTAAGGTGCCACAAGTACTCCTTTTCTTTTTCCTTTTGATGTTACTTACCTTTTCTTCCCTGGGAGTGCTTATGCCCTTTTCAAGAAGGTGTAGGCTTGTCCTTGCTCCCCCCCCCTAGACAGTAGTGATACTCATTGATCCCTCTGCTCTGAACTGAAGGATGTTTTTCTGGGCTGAGTCTGTTCCAGATTGTCATTTGCCACTGCATTAACTGTAATGCTTACTTGGAACAGAGTTCTCCAATTATTTTGCCTGTTTCTCTTACAGTATTGCTTTGACTTTTAGCTCTGTCTGTTCATGATAATGTATACAGTAAATATATTCTGAAGTGACCATGAAATGGCTGTATGAGGGAAAGCCTCTATC